TAGGGTGGTGAAAGTAAACCTTCGTTTGAACGATTAATTATTGTTAGCCGATGCGCAGTTTATTATCAAGAGATGTGGGGCAACGATGGTATCGCTGATTTTATGGTGTTGAGTGGGTGATAATGTAATGTAGGTGTTCTCAATTCTCTGATCACCGTAATAGCTTCTGTCTTTTCAATTTTTCTGTTTGAATTTCAAAATAATACTCAAATAAAATATTCATAATGTGTAGAATATTATGCAAATACTGTACGATTAATCTTGAATCATTTATTCCCAATACAATTCTTGTTTTTGGTCCAGTTATTTTGTTAGATTTATTTAATTTCAATTTTCAATTTTGGTCGGAACTGCTGTAACTCGATCTTCTAGAATTTCGGCCCAAAGACATCGGCTGCACACCATCGAAGGGTCGATAACCGGTATATACGCTAGGCACTTTGAAACTAGTCAGAGATGGAAGCGAAATCGAATATCACATAAGTATATAGCTTTGGACGAAGTGTCTCTATTTCCAGTTCACTACGAAGATCCGCACCCAATCCGCACAACGGTCATTCGAATGTCAACTACATGCTGTTAAATATTGTTTATTGTACAGCGTAAAAGAAAATACAAGAGTACTACAACAGTCATTAATGTTATTTAAAATTGAAGAACTTTACTATGTATTGGTATTGTATTGTACTCGTATTATTTCATTTGGTAAAACGAAATAAAAACACGAGTCCACGATTCAAAATAAAATCGTTTTTTATTCGTTCGCTGTCACCGTAGAATTTTGATAGTGTTATTACAAAGACTAATCTACAATTAAAACAAATAAGATAAACAGTGCGCATAAAACGAGCAAGTTTTTTATCAGCGTGAAAAACTACGACATCGATGATTTATTTTTACTATTGACACTAACGATACGCACGAATAAACGTATACAACAATAATAATACAATACAAAAGTTTGCAGTTCGTATAGCGGGTATGACACGATATATGTTTTGATATTTTAAAACGTTATAATACATATTTACTGATAGTTTTCAACTCAAGCCTAAAATGCTATGCTCTTTAAACAGTTATATCGGTTAGGTTAGGTTAGTAATTATTGTGCAATTATTAATTATTTAGTTTTAATCTCATATGAATTATTCTCATTATTCTGCTAGCAATGATTTATATACAAAAAAAAAAAAATATGTATAAAAAAAAAACTATTAATTTGAACCATTGATCCGCTATATTGACCTTTACGACTACTGCTTAGTTGCTCCAAGTCGCTAACTTTTGTTTAAATATAATATTTGCGATGTTCTATTATCGAGGCGCATCTTTTGCTCGGCATTTTGAAGTTCACTATAACGTATAAATTAAAAACTACTGGATTTCTTTCTCTTTTGTCATCGTGCTGATTTATTTCTTAAATGTACGTACCTTTTGTTCCGTCTAATTTTTGACCGAATACCTATCGTTATCAACATAAACGTAGCCAGATTTCGTGTTCAGGGTTTGCAAGAAAACTATGTACAAAATTTAACTTATAAAGAAAAATAGCAGTCTCCAAAAAAGTAAAATATAAATTGTTATTTCCATAGGCAGTTGGGGTATGCAAATAGCAAGTATCATACCGGTGTAGATAATTAAATGCTTAATTTGGCACTGCCAATTTATTGTGACTTTGCCGTGAAACTTTAAACTTATTTTACCGGAATAACATTGTTAATGCTTAATTTTAACACTACACGTATTATGCTTCCAAACTTTCTGCAAATTGAATATGAATAATAATTATTATTAGTGCATCTGTTTTGATGTACCATATTAATTGCGTTAAGAATTTAACAAAGTCTGATCGTCTACGAACTTGTAAAAACGGTATCGAATCACCACGTTTAAATTATTTATTAAGACAGATTGCTGTAGGTTCAAGAAATTCTCAAATTAAGTCGTTTTATAAATATTTTATAATACACGTGTTGAGTTTAAAAAAATATTTGGAATTGTAGCTAGAATTGAAAATGCGTTATAAGGAAAATATTAGGAATCCTGATTTTATGAAACGTTTGGTTGTCATCATTTCCAACGATGAAATTTTATATAATAATAAACACGTGATAAATAATTATCAACTTTTTTTTTTTTTAATAAGTTACACAAAAAATAATTTTAGATTTGATTGAATGAATAATAAATGTAGTGCTGTATAACGTTTAAGCACAAGTAACATAGTACATTGATTCAGTAAATTAAAAAAAATAAGTTAATAAATGACAATATTTATGAAATTGACAATTTGAACCACAAATGGTTACAGAAAAATATATCTTATGTTGTAACCGCTCTCCTCTCAAATTTTACAATAAAACAACATAAAAAAGTTTTACTTAATTATTTGATAAAATAATTACAAAATAATTAAAATATTTAAATATTTAATAAAATATTTGTACTAAACTATTAAATTAATAAAAAACCAAATTATAAATTTTATACGCCTTCTATAAGTAAAGTATACACGTATATATAAATATAATTAAATTTGGTTTTAAAAATGTTTTTTTGGAACTCATTTTTAACCTAGTGTAATTCGAACATATTTGTTAAGGTAAAGAAAATATAGTAAAACCATCCCCTGTAAGAGATCTATAAGAGCAGTGAAATGGACAGAGAACTTAAGAATTTGAATTGCACATTTTTCGAGTAATTTTGTTGGTGTAGAATTTCATGCCCATCTTATTTACTATTTTCGTTGTGTATTTTATTTATATCTCCATGTGTATGTTTTAAATTTTAAATCAATATTAATTTAACTTAAAAAAAAAATAAGCGAGATGCTCTGCATGCCAAATAAATGCTACAATTAAGATGTTTAAAATTATTATTGTAATTGATATTCCGGATCAAAAACCGTCAGAAATAAATAGTATTTCATTAAAATCAGAAAATAGTAACAACAAATAAAAATTAGAATATTTATAAATGTATAAATATGTAAATAAATGACTGTACATATACTTAATATTATATTTACTATAAATTACATGGAACGCGTTTGGCATACTCGTATAGCAGGGGCGGCCAAACGGTCGATCGCGATCGACCAGTTGATCACAGACGATTACAGAGCCGATCATGTTAGAATTTATTTTTAGGCCACGTGCAATTCGACAGTGTCCAGATCAACAAAATAAATATTAAAATGTTAATTAGATTTAAGTATTTAGATTTTAGAAATTATTATATTATTTTTAGTAATTAGTAATTAGTTTATAATACTTTATGTATGTTTATATATATTTTAAGCAAGTATGTTTCTTAATAATTATAATTATTTAATAATAAAAACATTTTTCCAAGAATGTCGATCTTCAAAGGTGAAGTATATTTCTAGTAGATTGTGGCCGAAAAAAGTTTGGCCGCCTCTGTCGTATAGGATGGGACGTATAGGACTCCATGGATGGACAACTGGCAGTCCACGTAATTTTTTTTTTATCTGGCCTATGCTATATTTTAAAATCATTTTGTAACATTTTAGCGTTTATCGATATTTGGTTTTATCACGTCGACCGTAAAATGTAGACATTATGTTTATTTCTAGTTTTGAACCGCAGCTAAATTATTAAAAGTCTAAATATAATATGCATTCGTATTGGCATTCCTAACATTGGTATTAGATACGTGCACCATATCGGTTCAGTCGTTAAATTATTTAAAATAAATGCCGATTGTCAGTTTTGATGACCTTTTTTTTTTCGTTTTTGCTTTATTCACTTAGGCCCTCCAAATTTTTGAAAGTCATCTCTCCAGCCACTTCGAATCACCCATCCCAGGTATAGGTATACGAACATTTTTACGAGACATGGACAGTCGTTTATTGTCGGGTCACATATAAGCATAGTGTACATTGTTAGAAAACCCAATGAAAAAAATTGTTCTACGATTGGTTCTAATCCCAATGAGATAACGACTTCACTATCAATTATCTGTTATCAGCTATCGAATTTAATAAATCACGAAAATGGTTATTTATCAAATTTTTGAATTTTGAATATTTAAAGACTTTTTAATGTTTTTAAACTTTAAACTTTTATTTGGAATTTGAAATTTGACAAAATGATATTTCCAAAAAAATAAACAAATGACATTGTTAGATAAATTGGGAATATCATTAACATCAAATCAAACATATCATGTTAGATGATATTAATAAATTGCTGAATTTGGGGAAATTAATTTTAATAATTGGAACTATCATTCCAATATTTCGATTGGCTAATGAATTATTTGCTCATAAGGTCTTATACAGTTAATTTTTTTATTTTTATTTACATGAATTACACATATTTCTGTTATTTTTTATTTTTAGATACCACAACCATCATATTTTGTTCGAAATAATTTTTTATTCTGAAATAAAAATTTGATATTAAATTTCAAATTGGTATCTTTATTTGGTAGATAAATGTATATATTTTATAATATAATACCTTTAAACTTTAAGGGTTTTATAATACATAAAAACATTTATTATTTTATATTTTTATTATATATTAATTATAAAATATTTTAATAAATAATTAATAAATAATTTTTTTTTTTGGAAATATAATTTTCGTCATTTATCAAATTTGATAACCGATAACAGATAATTGATAGCGAAGCCGTTATCTTATTGGTATTAGAGCCAATCGTAGAACATTATTTTCATTGGATTCTTTAACAATGTACACTATGCTTGTATGCGGCCGGGTCAGCACGAGTAAGACAGATGAAGAGAGAGTGAGATAGTGAGAGAGACAATGACTTAAAATAATAATAAAAAATATATAAAATAGGTACCATATTCATCAATGACTAATGATATTTTATAATTTTATTAATATATTAATATATCATAATACTTGGCTTTGTAAAATACATAGCTAATGCCTCCTTAGCCACCCCCTTAAACCCGCTCCCATGGGGCTATTCGTATTTTTCGCGAAATGCGACAATTGGCTTACCACGCAGTCGCCCAGGTTGGCCACCAGGCAGGATATCCGGCTGGCCACGCCGGTCTGCGCGACCACGGTGGACGAGTTTTCCGTCAAGAATTTCGGTTTGAGTAGAGTCCGCTGGAGCTGCGCATCGTCCAGCGCACTGCTGTGCGTCACGTTCGACGGGTCCAGCGGAGTGGGCGCGGTCTGGGCGACGGCTCCGGCTGCGGCTGCGGCCAGTCCGACCACGGCCGTCACGTTCGTCGAGTTCCGCGGCGGCGGTGGTAGCTGTTGTGACGGTGTTGGCGGTGCAACGAAGGGACGTGCGACCGTCGTGGCCGCCGCCTGCTGTGGCTGCTTGTCCGTCTGTTTTCCGTCTGTCTTCGGCACCGTGTTCTTCTGCCCGTCACCTGGAACATACGAGACCCCCACCGAAACGGTGTGCATCAGTATTTGTTTTCGACCATTTTTCCCCGCGTACAAAATGATTATATTGCGTTTAAATTTTCAATTCTCTCCTACGCGAGTAATAATTTTTTATCTTCATCATTCGACCGAACGTAAAATGAAAAATATGCTATGTGTTACTGTTTAGTTTGTTGTAACTGTAAAAATTGTTTAACGATGACATGATACAACATCGTGCCTACGTCTTACGATTATTGTGTGTTTTACAAAATAGGAGAGACGTTTCAAGGGGGGTTACTACCCGTTGACCTCAATTCCTGGCTGCGTCACTGGCGGAACGCTCCGTACGGCTTCGTTTTCTGTGGGCTTAAACGTTGTCGCGATTCATTATAAAACCCCCGAAATCACTGTTTGGCGTATGCACACAAATCGAACGCCGAATTAGTCGTACGCATTTTTAAGCGCACATAAGGGCCACATAACATGGTATTGTTATGAACCTGTACGATTGATGTATAACGTGATCATGAAATATTGATCGTTGGGACTCCTATCGTTTTTGTTTTTAGTTTTTTGTAGGTACCGTGCAAAGTATAAATATATATACGAGTAATAAAAAAAAAAAAAAAAAAATAAACTCCCTATATCGCTACTTATACTTTATTCAAATCGTAACGCGTTATTTACAACATTACTCTTAAAAATGAGTTTAGTTGAACAGTTATTTGTTTTTATGAGATAACTCAATTTTGTTTTAGCCGTTCTATCATTAATCAAATAAAACGTGTGTGAAGTTAATCCCCCCTCACTATAAAAAAAATACTTTCCAAAATAATTGTAATCTTATTTTCTTAATTTGTAACTATTTGTAATCAAGTTTTTAGAATTATCAACCTCATATTTTTCAAGCTACGGATACTTTCTCAATGAGGGGCTAACTTTACGCAGTTCCCCCCCCCCCCCATTCAACGAAATCATCCAAAACAAGTTGTAACTTATAAAATTTAATTTGTAACCAACTTTTTGAAATTTTTAACCTCTTCAATTTTGAGTAATTATCGATTTCCTTATAGGGGGTTGCCCCCCTTAATTCAATGAAATCATCCAAAACAAGTTGTAATTTATAAAACTTAAATTGTAACTATTTGTAACCAACTTTTTAGAATTTGTAACCTCTTCAATTTTGAGTAGTTATAGATTTCCCTATGGGGGTCTGCCCCCCCCCCCCCAATTCAACGAAATCGTCCAAAACAAATCGTAACTTTTAAAACTCAATTTGTAACCAACTTTTAAGATTTTGTAGCCTCGATCCTTCCGAGTAATCGTAAATTTCTCAATGAGTGTCAGGTTAATGCACGTACAGGAGCTGTTACACGTGCTTTCTGTTATGGTTTGTCTAATATTCAATACAGTGAAATGAGTTTGAAGATTCTTCAAGATGAAGAATGTGGTATAATAGTTTAAAATTCTAGACTAGATATTTATGTACGTTTGGATATTGCCCATTTATTTAAAATAATTGGTAGATGGAAATGTTTTAAGATAAGAAGTCACGGAAAAATTAAAGAATTGTATGTTAAAGCCATAATTCTCTTAATAAAAATCAAATACAATTAATTTAAAACAATTTTAACTGAAATTTTAGTCATTGCATCTTCAAAATTTGATGATGATATAGAAGATACAAAATATTACACTTCGTCAGAAAAATTCAGGGAAAATATTTTAAAACAAATCGAAAATGTTGATTTCAAAGAAAATATAATTTCAGATGACGAAGAAATTTCAGAAGAAAATGAAGAAAAATAATGTTACAAGTTTATAATGTTCAAAGTCTTGGATACATTTATTAAAAATATTAAAGAACGTGTAGCAGTTTTCTTCGATACATGTTTGAAAAGGTACTTTTTAACTGGTTTATGTGCTTCTTTTTTTCGTATTATAAATGATTTTCTTCTCTAGACAAACATAATGGCTAGACACTAAAAATCAAAATATGAAAAGGTCACTTCAGCACTAGTCAAAGGATATTTTTCTTATGCCAAAAATGAATTGAGACAATCACTTTGGACTATAAACCGTTTTGTTGGTTCACATTTATTATCAATAGAGGGAGAATTGAAAATGGCTAGATCATTACAAGTCAAAAAATATCAAGAATATAAATCAAAAAATGATATTAAATCAAACAACAGTTCTGATGTGATGTATAGTAATTAAACAAATAGGGAAATTGATATAAACTGCAATATAAGTAATAATGTTGAATCGAAATTTTATAGTGATGATGATATTTCTATCAATTCAGATTAATCTGATATCAATATAATGATAACAGATGAACTAATGACATAAGAAAATTGGAGAAAAAAAGCAGACCTATCAAAATCAAAAAAGAGAAAAAAATTCCAAACGATTTTCGAAATATACAAGTCCATGTTCAATTATTCGCTATGTACTAAATACTTCAGGAAATCTTTTACCAGCTTTTATTTAAAGAAAATAAAAAAAAAATTCTGATATTTAACACGTGTGTTTTTGATTCACTTTTAGTAGCTATAACAGTAAGCTTCATCGATAACAAAAGGTATAATGTTGTATATTGATAATAATAAAATGAATCATTTTATAAAACTATGAAAATATATCCTGTTCGTGGAGTTACAAGCATAACTTATGATCAACATGGTAATTTGCTAGTAGAAATTGAACTTTTTAAAATATGACCTGTAGAATCTGAACCTCAATATTGGACGCAAGTATTAATGTTATTGCTTTATGTAACAAGTTAATTTCTGATATATCTAGCAGTATACAAATATTGGAATGCACCATTTGTATTACAAAAACTGTATTTTATAATGCAACAATAATACTCAACGAATTGTTAAATAATAGTGGACGTTTAGAAGATGTAAATACATATTTAAATAAATATGTTACGAAAAAAAATAAATAAAAATGGTGACCAAACGGTGAAAATATAAGTAGAAATTATATAAGAGTATTGCAGGAACATATTTTATTGGAAACGAATGTTTGATAGATTATTATATCAAGTAGTGACAATTTTTACACCTTGTCCATTTTTAACGTTCTATATTGTGCACAGAAATGACATTATGTTCATCGTTGCAAATAAAGTATCGTGCCCTGGAGGGACGCCACAACTAGTTCGCCATTGTTGCGATGTCCACTGGACACTTGAGTTTAGCACCGTAGCACGATCAAGTTTTTATTTATGTTCTGTGCTAGGTGCTAATTCAGAGGAAGCCATGACTAAAAAAAACTGTATCGATGTTATGTTTCGACACTAAAGTTTGACACCATAGCGGGAATTTATGTTCTTTCACAATCCCGCTAACTTCATAGATCTAGGTATATTCTTTGGGGCCCACCCGTTTAAGGAGTACACATCGAACAAGCACGCACGGTTATATTTATCCACGAGTATCACCCAGATTTACTCGGCTCCAGTGTAGGAATCTCAACTCCAAGACTTTTATTTTTGGATGGTTATTTTACATCGCAAGGATCACGTTAAACATTATTTTTTGTGGGAAAAAAAAATAATAAAACAATGTTGATTATCTATAAACGAATATAGCTAGAGACACGGGATTGGAGTATTTTCGTAGCATTTTTTTTTTTATTTGATTGTTAAAACTTTTATGGTGCAAAACTTACATTAGTATAATATAACCACGTACACGGCTCTTCTATAAACACGCGGGATTTTTGACTTTAAAAAACTTTATCTTCCCACACGAATACCACATTAAACAATTTTGGGAAACGTCGAATTTGATTTTTTTTTTTTTACTAGGTTAAAACGTGTTTTTTAATGAATTATTCATGAATTGACTTTTTTATTGTTTAAACTTCATGAAGTAAATTTGACTAGAAAAATTAAGTTATACTAATAATTATATTGTTATATTGTTCCCAATACATTAAAAAAAATGAAAACTGTTGAAATTACTACCTGGATTCATTCAGTTTTGAATGACGTATATAATATTAGAACATACCGAAGAAGAAAATAGGTGTCTACGAGTATAATATAAAATAAATCTATGGTTATAAATCAAATATTTTCGATAGAAAAAGTTGTTGAATAAGTCGTGATACTAACACAACACAATTAGCAAATTAGATATTAGCAATGTTTTTGTGATACGATTATTGCAGAGCAGGAAGTGATTAATTAATTGTGTAACATTTCTAATTAAAATTAATATTATATCTAATTAAAATATATTAATAATTATATTAATATATATTATATATGTATATAATAATACATAACGTTTTAGTGCTCGATGGTTTTTTTTTGTGAGGATGTTATTAAACATAGTATATACTATGTAATACAAAAACGTGTACGCTATATACGTATACATATGCATTGTATGCATTTGCAATATGTAACACAACCTGATATTTTGTGTAGTAGCATATTTAGAGTATTATCGGATAAATACTGTGATATGTTCGATATTTGCATTTGTGCGAAAAATCTGAATGATTTTTCGAGTGGATGCATATATATATAAATTAATGTTTGGTAATACTTTGAATTTTTATACTGTATACAAAGTTTAAAAACTGTACGTTAACGATACGTTAGAATTTACTCAAAATAGAATAATGCGCGTCAACATTTAGCTTATATTTTACATATCATTTTAACAATGGGTATTTGGAATATATTTAGGAATCAGCGTCGTTGCGTTTTTTTTACCATTTCGAGTCATTGAATATTCATTATCTGCAGAACGAGGATCTTTTGAATCAGTGGCGCCTAAATAGGTTACCAAGGGGTGCAATTGCATGTGCTCTCGTCGGTGGTAGGTGTATGAGTGGGTTGGTGGGTATATAATTGGACAACTTAGATACCAAACATTATGGGTTATGGTAAGCAAATAACATTATTATTATAACAAAAACATTATACCTGTACGGCACTGGGTTTAGACATCTTAGTTTTAATTAGTTATAATAAATCTTAATTTCTTTAATTTATAGTTGTTTTAAGAGTTGATTACATTTACAAAAAACAATTTAAACGAACGTCTTTTTAAAAAAAAAAAATTGGTGGGCGGGTGGGTAACTTTTTTTAGCTGCATGTGCAAAAAATACTCAAAATACTTCTGTATGCTACTGTTTTGAATCAATTATTGGAGCACAAAGCGAGTCGCCAAACAAAAGGAGGAAAACGGTTGAAATCTTCACTTCGGAGATTTTTTCAATCGTAGAGTTATAATGTATTTTGTCGCGTCCCACATACTTAGATAACAATAATACCATAATCACTCTGCATTATATATATGCATGAGTGTGCAACGATACATTTAATAAATTGAATTTATAAAATATAAATAATTGGATAAATTAAAGTATACACATTATCACACAAACGTCATACCTACATAAAATTCGGATAAGGAAACAAATTAATGATTATTAGGATAATATCGAAAATATCACATAAACATCATTCAATAAGGAAAAAATTTACCAATTAAACACATCCCTGAGATAAATTGAATTATATATATTATCATATTATACGCATACGCCATCCCACACAAAAAATCGATAAAGATTATCATTTTTTAACTATTTGTAACTATCAAAAATTTTCACATACACATACTTGCAATTTACACACACGTTTGCGTTTATCGAATATATAAGGAACCCAGAAAAAAGGGCAAATCAGACGAATTCTTGCTATTCGACACTGAGCACCAGTGTATGTCATGGTCAAGACTTCGAATATTTTAAATAGTTTAATTGTTAGAATACTTATAATATTTTAGAAGAGTTTAAATTAAATACCTCAACTTGGAATATTTTCATCACAGTTTAATATTAGGACTTAGCATTTTTACAGCTAAATTAATTAATTGTACTTGGAATAATTTTTAACAGTTTAATAAATCACTTCACCACAATGAACATTAATTATTTCAACATTATACCTACATCCAAGCATTGAACAGAGTAAGTCACTGAGGTTCGATCAATCGGTTGGCACGCTACAATTTTATGGTTTGTGAAAAAATATTTTATTTTGTCAATAAATTAATAATGGTTATCAGATCGTTTGCAAACGAGTATTCACGAACGCTATTTGAGTATACCATAAAATATATTACAAAACATTGAAAATGCATGGATAAATGTTTGTAAATATATTTTTATACGCTCTACTTAACGCAAATAATAATCTGAGATATTTTATTTCGTGATATTTTAGTGATTAAAACGTAAATAGCAATTAAAAATGATTTGTTATTAGATTTGCATTGTTTAATTGTTTATGTATTTTCCCAAATTAGAAATAATTGTACGAGATAAACAACGAATGGCAGATGGCAAGGGAAATGTGAAAATAGTTAATGAGAATTTGATTTATCGGATGTTGCAAAACTAATATAGATACCGTTAAAACGAAGATAAAACGCCTATCATTCTTACTCGTTATGGTTAAATTAATTAGTAACTTATTGAAATCGTCTTTGTGTTCCATCGAAACATTTCACATTAAATCGTCTACAATAGAATACTGGAGTTTATCAATTATATTTTATAAACTAATGCACATGTAATGTATAAAATATATTTTATTGAGATACTAGTATGTCGTATGTATATATATGTATGTATAAATACGCTGGTTTTATCACAAGTACTTAATTATCAAAAAGAAAATAAGAATGTTAGATTAACATTTGTTTATTTTAATGATCAATTTTGAGACATTTCAAACTTTAAACTTTCGTTTCAAAGTTGACGATACGAAATCGATTGATTATTTCTACCAAGTAAAATCACTTATTGTTAGTTTTGTTACTTTTCGGCCATAAAAGATGCAGTATTTTGTTTTTGACAAATTAAGTGAATACGCTCGAAAGAAATCAATCATTATTTCCAACTCTCCCAGGTTTCGTTAACAACGGAAAAACTGTAAAAGAAATCGAAAAATATCAAATTTAAAGTATCATGCGAAACTTCCGATAAAAATTAATGCCAAGAGAAACGTTTTATGTAAATTTACCACCTGCAAGGTCGATCGCAAAAAAACGAGGCAGGGGGGGAGAAAAACACCGCTGTAAATTCGATAAAAACGATTACGCATTTCGCTCGATGTTCGACAACCGTTAAACAATGAAATTACTAGGCGAGAAGACGAGTGTTTTTTTTTTTTACACTTACTTAATTTGTATCCGGCTCGTTTGTCAAATCGTACACAACAGGTATGATCCACAGACCACACGCAATTCATGTAAATATACGTGTACATGTATACACGCGCACACATATATTAGAGAGTGCAGTGTAATGTAGTTCACTTAATGAAATGTCAATCAAAATACAATTCACACGAGGCGCTTCACAAAGCAATACCATCGCCGTTATTGCGGCATGTATTTGAACGCGCAGCAGCACTCCACGCACAACGTTCCACTGCCTGTATCCGCCGTACACATTACGACGTTAAAACGCTCTCGCGTCTTGTGCACACAGAACGTTTGCATCCACTATAATACACGTATTTACATATACGAATGCGGTGATATATTTATAGATTTATTTATGTGTACAAACGTTCTATACGAGTGTATATATATGCAAATAAATAACACCACAACAAAGTGCGTCGCAAAACGTGTACGTCTAACGCGTGCGTGTTCTCCATTTAGACAACACTATCGATTTACGACGGTCCATTCGATTGAAATTACCAGTCGAATTAAAGCTTGAGGCTGAGTTACGTCATAATTAAAGACCGGGTTTAATTGATATTGCAACTTTTTTATTGATACCCGGTAAATCAAATCCGATCAAATATGTATATGAATCAGATTAATTACAGTCTTCCTATTTAATTTAATAATGCGATTTCTTGTAATTTTTGTAATTATTGCAATTGTTGTATACTTCACGTGATAAAATATATAAATTATTATTTCCAAAGTGATTTTACAAAAAAAATATAACTACGACGTAAATTTTTACATGTAGTTAAATGCAGATTAGGATTTTTAAAATTGTATTTATCTGAGTTATCCACAAAACTCACAAGTTTAGAAGAATCAAATAGTCAATTACTTAATAGTTTAAATATATTTAGTGAGATTAAAAATATTTCTATAAATATTCCCGGTCCCAATGGACAAATAGTTAAAGATAAATTAAAATATGTCTTAGAAAAAAATGAAGGATATAAAATTATTAAAACTTAAAAGATTATGACAGAAAATCAACATTTTTATTTAGATATAACACCAAATTTTTTAATTTATTTTAAATATGCACCGATGTCGATATTGAACGTACTTTTTCATTAAATAAACATATTTTAATTAACAGATGATATAATTTTCAAGAAAACAATTTAGAGATGTATTTAATTATACATTTTAATTCGGAAAAAATATATTTTTTGTAAATATTATATTAATATAATATTATTGAAGTAAGTAATTGATGATTATATATTTGTTATGATTTTACTATGTAATTTTAATGTATATTTCATTGCAATTTTAACATATTTATTCTGCAATTTTGATACATTTTCATTGCAATTTTAAAATATTTTTAATCCAATTATATGCGGTATTTAGTCGTAACGGACCACCGTTATTTACGATTACGAAAAAACATTAATTGTTGTTCGACAACTATATTATACAGTACAACGTGTATAATGTGTGCATATTATTAACACACCGTGTACAGCGTAGGTTTTATCAAAGGATCGACGTTTACGCTACAATTATGATCGCCATTTCGTGCATTGCGAATAAAGATTTGCGTAAAACGTGTTATGTTTTCTAATAATAATAAAAGTCGTTTCGTGATAAGTTTTTTTTTCTACTTAGTAAAATCGCGTTTGTGTGGGTCTATTTTTTTTACACCGTAAGATGCATATACATCTATGTATGTATGTATGGGAAATATTTGTTTGGAAAACGTAACTTGAACGTCACAGCAGTGTATAAATGGATATTAATGTATCAATGCCTCCGAACGATATAACGCAAACCAGGAGCGAAAAGAAAATCATGTAACACACTCAACGCATACGGGGCGAATGTATCGTCGAGCAAGGACTCCCTTCTCTTCCTTTCTCGCGGCCGAGGAAAGTGTGTTCGCTCAAGCGGGGCGGGGAGAAAATGTAAATGAAAAACTAGCAACGATTCCAACCCGAAGTGCACACGCCTTTTTCGCCCTATATTCTTTCGTTCTCGCATATAAATTTGACGTCAACAAGTCGCGTTTCTCCGATTGTGACAGCGCACACATAACGTGAGCAAAAGTATCCCCTGCAGGGTAATGTTCGTTTTCTATTCTCTCTGGAGAGTGCACGGTATCGATAAAAGTTCCGATGTTCTGAAATACCCGGCGCACTTGATTAATTTGAGGTCACATCGGAGAAAAGTGTAAAAGGGACCACGGCGGTGGCGATTGATTTATGTATGCGATGTATTTTTCATACGAGTGCTTGGTCGATAATTAAAACTAAAGACAATGCACATAAAACATTCCTAAAACACATCTCGAGAGTACCGAGAACGAATATAAATAATATAAATATGGTTGTGTCGAGGTAGAACAAAAAAAAAAAAATTCAAACATTCGATGGTTATCGAACCCATTCATCTTAATAGAATACGAAAACCCAGTGTTCATATGCTGTACTGTTTTTTTTGCGTTTTTGCTTATTGAACTCAATAGGTAAAAGTAAATTCCATTTATTTATTATTTCTATAGTTTGTTACACGAAATATACTTCGAGTTTCGTATTTTGCTTTAAATATTTTCAATTCAACATATTTCTTTGTTACACCGCGCCCTTTAGAAAAATGCATTATATTTAATGAACCTCATTCAAACCCTAAATAATATATGAACGTAAATATCGCGTGAAATCGTTTGTCTCTTTTCAATCTCGAAAACGCGAACACAATATTATAATTCGACACATTAGTGTCGCACCGCGGTTTTTAATTCACTGTGATATTTATGAACTGTGTTCAAACACATTTCGTTGTTTATTATTTTCATATTGTCGGCGTACGAAACACGGGATTGTTGGTCGTACGCTCGACCGGCTGGATTTCTATCAAGATACATTTACATGGTGCATCATTGTCGTTGATGATTTTAAACGAATTAAAAAGTAAAAACTAACCTGGCAAAACGGTTGGCAGATATATCGTCCACGATTGAACGATAAACGAAGTTCGGCCTGGTTCACTTTGAGCGAAAAGAACATGACACACATGAATGTTGAACTACAAAATTCTTTAAGCTAAATTAATAATATACGTTTCTTAATTTCAATTTTTATAAAAAAAAAAATTAAATTTCACTTCGGACGATTCAATTTCCGACCATTCGTCCACGGTAATAGTCTTCGGGAATAACTCGTGTAAACGTTCTTTAAGATTACGGTCATAATAATAATAATAATAATATAACCATCGGACTGCCGGTCTAAGTGAGTGTCTAATATTATATTGCGTACATTGTTATTCGTTCGTTCTACGACGACGACGACGACGGTGCCGACAATGAAATACACCCACGGGAGAACGTTATACAGAATCCATAACTGAAACTTAGTGAAGTAGTTAATTCTCGGGTTGTTGCAGCGGAGATAAATAGTACGGGTGTACATTGCAGCAGGTACACAGTGTACCATTAAAACGCAGATTGCTATTACGGTACAAAACCACTTTAAGCTGTGTACAAGACTGTGAAATCTAATATGGAAAACGAGTGGACGCTGTTCAGATGCAGACGTACGCAGAGGCTATCATCGCGGTGTAGGGTACATGCCGGTGGCACTTCTATCCCGCACTCGTGTTATCGTATAATAGCAATAATAACGATGATGATGATGATGATATTAATTATTATTATTACCATGCACCGCGGTAAAATGGCATCACGTGCATAATGTACGCTAACGACGTAACGACACGTATATTATGTCTACAACGCGGAACATATAATTACTTTATATGACCTTTCAGACGACGTGTCGGCAGGGACCTGTACGCGCGACAAGTTTTTAGTTTACCTCCGTACGCGTTTCTTAATCGATTTTGAATAAGTTTTGGTTTTTATTTTTCTTCAAACGAGTTTATGAAATGATTAAATTATATTTAAGATATATATAAGATATAAGATATATATATTTATATATAAGATGCATGCTTTTATTGTGAGATCAAACAAGTTAAATCGTAAAAGTTTTTTTCGAACAGAAAATGTAAGTATTTTTTTTAGTACTAACAGGATTATCGATTATTTATGTCGATGCGTAAAATTGAATATTGAATCTGTAATTTATTAATAATTGTTTGTAGATATTTGAATTTGGACGAGCTGATTGGTGTGCTGAATTTTTGTCACCCGTTCCATCCATCAAAATAATTTAAAGCTTTAATAACTTATTATGTACAATATATTTAAAAATTCTAAGGTCGACGAACTTCTACGGTCTTATGAGCTACTTAGAGTTCCAAAAATGATCCCTCTGTAATAGATACACATTTGGGTGTCGTGTTATTTTTCCATAATCAATGATGACGTATTGAAACTTTAGAATTACTGTATTTACCGGAATATGTAATAATATGATATGTTATTAGGTAAATAATTTATGAATCTACAATACTTCTGTTCATGTCGTATACTTGACTATTGTTGTTATTGTAATCACGTTCAATATTTGGTGTAATATAAATACTATGTACACATTTGTCATTCAATTTATAAGATTTAATATTAAAAAATAAAAATATTTTCTAGAATAAATTTGATTATTTTTCAATTATTACTAACTGCTTACTCGAAAAATATTGATGAAAATGTGATGTTCAATAAATATAAAGAGTAACTCAAAGCTATGATTTGAGATATTTTAATTGAGTTGTTACTGTATAATAACAATAACTGTTCAAATTTTTAATGTTCAATATAAACAATTATAACTGAACTAAAGCTTGGCAAGTATTATTGTTTATAAGACAACTTTATTTCACCGACATGACTACTTTATTATTTCATCCCTTCGATGATGATAATAAAACAACATTATTTCGAGTTTCCGTCGCAGTACGTTTAGAACAGAAATAAGAGTAAGTCAGTTTTTTTTCTGACTGAAAACTAAATGTATACTCATATACATGTTTCAGCTTATTTTTTTATTGTTTATTTAACTCAAAAGGTAAGTATTAAAATTAACTTATTGTAAACAAACATAACGGTCTTGAAAATGTACAAACATTGGTCACGTTCAGCATTAAAAATTTAATAACAATTACAGATTC